AGGAATCATGCTATTTGTTCTGGCAAACAATAAGGTCGTTACCTTATCTAGTATACCTATAGATGATAATTTTAAGCTCCTCTTAGAAAAAAGTCTTAACCTTGCTTTTGCAAATGAGTAAAATCATTCTATGGAGATACTGGTTGAATTCATTAATTTAACAAACAAGTTGACATAAGAGGCTAAGGATAGTATAGAAAGAGGAGTGATTCCTCATTTTTAGCAGGTAATAATTTCAAAGAAGTTTTATGACTTGAATAAGATTTATAGATATTTGCACAAAAATTATATGTTTGTTTTGAAGGCAGATAAAGGTGGTGCAATAGTCATCATGGATAAGTCAATTTATATAGAAAAAATGATGGTTAATTTAAATGACTCAGAAACATAAGAGACTCTTAGTTGTAGAATCCCACACAGAGTTTTAATGCCAGACTTTGGGAATCGATTAACTTTTGTGTAAGCAAAGGAGAAATTAAGAAGTAGAAAATAAATTCACTTCTCTAAAGGGATGCTAGGTCACCTTCGACCTACGGCCTTCCAAAAATACATGAGAGTGCTCTTAATATTGATTGTTGATAAGGCAAGTGTGATGCATAGGATTTCACGATTCTTATGGAGACAATTAATGAAAGTGGCTGAGTATTGGAAATATTAGGTGAAGAATTCATATGAATTTGGTAGATCGATAAACCTACAGAGTATTAAAGAGGAGGATCTTTTGGTGAACTTCGATGTAATATCAATGCATACTAGCATCACAGTTCATGAGGCTATTGAAGCACTATCACTCAGCGTAGACGAGCACCCAAAAATTATTGGTGAGGCAAATCTGAGTAAAAGCTCAATCTAAAGGCTACTTAACCTATCCATGAGTAGCACATACTTCATCTTTAATGATAGGATATGAAGACCAAGATGTTGTGGCCCCTGGTATGGTCGCAGTCTCCTTTAGATTTATTTATCGAAGATAGCTTCAATATGGCACCTATACAACCAGCATTGCTCATGCAGTACCTCGATGATTACTTCGCAATATGGTCACATGAAAGAGAAAAACTGGAAGAGTTTCTGAAGCTTGCAAACCAGATTGATGAAAATATTGAATTCATGAAGGAAGTAGAGGAAAAAGAGCGGTTACCGTTCCTGGACGTTGAAGTGATTCGCTCTAATGGGACGCTCAAAAAGAAATTTCCGGTCCAATTACAATTACAGGCTAAAGATTGGAATAATGAGGAGCATGATCGTCCAAAGCCTACGCTTAACGGATGTAGAATTCTGGGACGAGGAGCTGGACAATTTGACAAGGATATTCCTTGGCAATGGCTATCCTAGCAAAGTGATACAAAGAAACATACGGGCCGTGAAAAGCCGATGGCGGAACGGGGAATATAAAAGGACAGAAAGGCCGA